TTTGTTGCACTGCTGCTACAAACACCTTAAAAACTCGAAATTCTCGACCATTATTGCTGCGACTTTACAGAAGCTATCCGATCTCCACAAACAACACATGGCGTTTCGGACGATGACAGGTTCCTGCCCCCGAAATACCTGCCCAAATATCCTCTTAAACTGCCATTTCTTCAGCGATATGATCTCCGCAACCCCGCAAGCAGCAATGAACGGAGGGGAATTTACGGGGAGCGAGCTGAAAAACGCGCAGTTGTCTTGCGACTTCTGAGCACAATTGACTAAGTTCGCGAGCGTTGTGCATCCAAGCACAATCGACGCTAATAATTGGAGTAAGCGCAACAAATCTTTGGAAGAGTAAAATAGAAATTTGTTTAAATCTTAAGTAATTGAAAACTTATGTACTAAAAAATTACTAGACTTATAACCGATAGACAGAGGAACAGAATTGCCCGGTTTTTAAGACAGAACAATAGGTGAAAGCTATTGTCCATAAGATTGGTTTGGATTGTAACATATGTAATCCGTTAGGTATAGCAGCTGGAACGGGTAAGTTATTATGAATGCATTGAAAACCATAAGTTTTTTCAAAACATACTCTGATCTTTCTTTTAAAGATTTTTATTGTAATCCGATCCGATCTTTCTCTTTTCTTCTAAACCCAATAGCAACATGATTTTATGGAATTCGTGGGTTAATTAGAACATTTTTTTAAACCTGTTAATTATGAATTATGAATAATCATTTCTAGGCAGATCATCTTCTAATGTTATTACCCTTATCGTTGAAGGCTATTCTTGCTAAATATTGATTGCAAATAAAAGTTTGAGAACAGAAATGCCTAACTTTGGAAAACTTGTGATATAATCCCGTATGATTCATTACTTCTTTTTTTAAAATGGTTTCAAATCATTTGACTCCAGACGCATTGAGTTGTGCTTAGTTGTGCACTAGCATTGCTCATAAATGCCACGCCTATAAAAATTGTATAAAAGTATTCATAAATTCATCCCAGATGGAGTTATATAGATGTTAGCGCAGTATTGAAGGTAGTCATGAACCAAGTTAGTTTTCAGATTGCACGATAGTATAGCCAGAGTCAGAACTAGTTAAAATTTTCAAAATTTTAAATTGGACTGTGTTGAGACAACAGCTGACTGATGCAGTTAAAGCAGCAGGAAGAAACCCTGTTCTTTCGGTAAAATAATAGCGTACTTTCAACAAGTGGGCGTATAATATGTAATTCAGAAGACCACTCTTATGTATCCACTACAGGGATGTAGGTACATTGGATTTTGATGGCTGAAACGTAATAAAACTATTTTTCTTTCTTTCAAATTCGTTTTAAATTAATATTTATTAATTTTCTTTTATTCTTTTTCTTTAAGAGTAGTTTTTAGTGTTGTATATGAAAATAAAATTAATTAAATGAAATAAAAAGTCCATTTAAATGACTAAAACATAAAACACTTTGTTCTTTTATTTTTTTATATTTATACTTAAAATTAAATAATTCATCTTTTTATGTTTTGCTTTTTTTTTGTGTTTCAATTCTTATTAGAGAACAATTGCTAATGTTCGCCTTTTTTTTGCTTACTTTCATTTACTAAAACCGAAAAAGTCATAAAATGTCTTTTGTTAATAATTTTGTTCTAAAATTCTTTTAGTTAATTCCATTTTATAAATTTAATTTGTATACCCAAAAATTTGTGTGTTTTTCTTTTTATCATACTCACTTAAAAAAAAAAAATTCTTTTACTACATTCATTAATCCATTAACTGCTGCAACAGCTAATGACAATTTGCTCAGTCATCAAATACGTTATTCCTAAAGTATCATTTATGTACGTAGCTGTGTTCAATATTTTTGTATTTTTCTGAGTATTTTAAAATTTCTTGTTTTTATGTTAAGTAAGTGGTGGTGATGGTGGTAAAGATTGTTTTTGAATGCTTAAGAAAAAAAAAAACATAGAAAAATTAAAGCTTAAAAGGTATTAATCATAAGTGAATCAATGAGTTTTACGAATAGTAAGGCAATCAAGGAAAATTTTTGCTACAAAACGTTAAGAGTAAAGTAAAAATTCTATTAATTATTATCATAAAAATAAGAGCAAAAGAAAATGAATTCATTTTAAATACAATTCTTACGTCAAAAAAAAGTCTCCAAACGCTCTCTTTTCCTTCTTTATTTCACTAAATATGGACTTCTTTCGTAATTTCTTCTTCTTATTCCGCTTCTTATTGAATTTCCATTTAAATGCAAAATCATATTTCAGGTACATCATAACTTAAAATTTAACTTAACAAATACTCGTATGTATAAAATATATATAAAAAAATTTATTTAAAAAAAAAAAAAACATGTAGATAAAATTATTGAGTTCTTAAAGTTTCAAAGTTTTATATATTGTTAAGTGAAATACGAAGTAAAAGTAATAGCTCACAACTGAGTATTAGAAGCAATTATCAAATTCGATAACCTTAACCAAAAGAACGTAATAATAATTACAATAACAATTAAAAGAATTAGGTCTGTTTTGGAACGCATTTTGTGATACCCACCACCTCAAACATCCTTACATATTACAAAGCATTATGTTATTCGTAGGCATGCCTCTTGGGAAGTATTGCCCTTCTTGCAATCAACGTTCACAAATCTCTGATAACTATCTGTCAAACTTTAGATGATTCGCTATAAATTACAAAAAGTGTTGTTGTTAATTGCGAACATGTGCAAAATTTTAAATTAACACTTTCTAGAGATTATAAACTCTTTTGTTGAGCGTATACGGATCGGGGCCATTTTCATATTTCATTTCATAAGTCTTACTGTTCATTGTAGGTTTCTACGACTATCAACTTTCCAACAGCAGACGTCGGACAGACGAAGCGACAAGTGTGTATGGGTAAGTTAATTAAGAATCATAAACTCATCGACAATATATATACCATTGTGTGCAAAACTGAGATAATTTCATATTTTGTTTTTTAAATCTATTTAGTCGCCTTCAAAGTAATTCCCCTCAGACAGACTACACTTATGCCATCGTTTTCCCCAATCCTCGAAACAAATGGCATAGTCGATTTCCGCAGGGGCATTCAGAGCTTTCTTGGATTCAGCTTGTGTCTTTTCGATTGAGTCAAATGCGATCGTTGTGGAACGATATGGATTAAATTTTTAACAAAATGGTCTCGAAGAACCAACAACTATTAACAATTTGGTCCGACGAAAGGAACTCATGATGTCCAACACCACGACAATCGAATAGACCTGTTAATATCACTATAATTTTTGAGCGACTTTGGCTCGGTTTTTTCGGTCCTGGCTTACATTTTGCACGATATTCGCCCGATTGACCAGTTGTTTCTGAGTCGTTTGCCAACTCTCGTATCCAACTCTCATTTCAGACAAAACTTAATGCAACTTCTTTGCTCAATAGTTGTAAAAACCGGAAGAAACGCTAATACTTTTTGACACAGATATCTGTCACAGTCCTATCAATTTAGAAAAGAAAGTGTTTCTGTTACTCGATGTGCTCACGCAATTCAATTTGAATATTAGTCTTACACTTTGGTCACAGTATTATGTACTTAATACTTTACACGGACAGACGGAGGAGCGAATGCGCACGGCCAACATCATTCGAGTCATACGCTCATTAACAATAAATATGTATATACATGCGGTATACTTAATGCTGTCGTCAGACGGAGATGCTTACACCCACTTAGAATCTGCTTATCGATACTATACATATATATGATATTTTTGAGTGTTAAAAATGCATGAATAAATAATACTTGACGTGATTAATATATTTGTCACACTGGCGGCGGGTATAAAAGGAAAGAAAATCGAATAAATTCTGTTCAACATATTTCCACATATTATTTCATAATTAAATTCAAGCGATTATATATTAAAATTAAAAAATACTTGGAAAAGGTAAAAGGAGAAAAAAAATTCAATGAATATAAAAACTATTTAAAATAATTTTTAAATTTCAATAACTTCAACAAAATTCAATAAAATTATTATTATATTCTATTTAAAAAATATTTAAATAAAGAAGAAACAAAACTTTGCTAAATACTCACAAAGCCCTAAAGCTATATTTCCAAAGCTCGTATAATTTAACAGAAAAAAATAGGAAATCGATACTGATTTTATGGCGAAGCTAATGTAAGGTCATTAGTTAGCCGAAGGGGATTTCCCTCTATGCCGCTAATAATTGAGGCAGATATCTATGGCGCATTAGACGAAAATTTTCGTAAAAGTAAGAAAAAAAAAGTTCCTCCTCGTCTCTGAATTCTGATCGCTAAAGAGGTTTAGCTGTTTTCCTCAATTGTTATATATTTGTCGTAATTCAGATTCGTTTTCTTAAGCTCGTGTACCATACGCAAGGTTCCCAGGCCTTGACGATTACAAACATAATAATAAAATCCGTGAAACCCCGCCCAAAATCGTGTACTTATTTAATAAATAAGTCCTATTTTGCAGAGTGAAACTTAGATCTTACTCGCGCTCAATTCTGGCTTGAGATTAAATGTTTGAGAGCTAAGCGCTCCCCGGGGACAAACCAACCTAATCATTCAAACTTTATAAATGTTTTTTTTCTTCTTAATTATTTTTTCATCTTGAAATATAAAAACTCAGAAGAATTACAATTTTTTTCTCAAAATATTTTAATTAGTTCAAAATTTCATATATTTTAAGTCATTTAATATTTTTTAAAATTGAAAAATCTGTCAAAATCTCAGTACTTTCTGAACGTGTGGTCTATACTTTTATAAGACTATCTTAAAATATCTAAGTACTGTACGTTAACGATTTTCGGAATTTTCATAAATCTTAAAGCTTGGAAAGCTTTTAAGCTTTGCTTAAAAGTACTACTATTAATGTAAAAAAGTATAGAAGGAAAGCATAAAAGAAAATTAAAATGAACAACATTACTACTGCTCCATTTTTCCCATTCTCTTATCTTACTTTTCAGAACTTGCTCGTTTGCTTGCGTCTGTTTTTCGTTTTATTTCTTAATGTCTTACTGGCCCGACTTTTACTTCGTTCTCAAGCGCTTCTTAATATGATTCTTCTTCTTTTGTTTTTGATATAAATGTAAATTATATTTATGGGAAAATGAATTTCGTCCATTTTTCTGCTCTGATCGATGCTTCCAATAACAATGTAAAGCCAAAGAAGCTTTCGTATGGTAATTGAAGACCATCATGGAGGAACGTTTCGATAGGCATTTCCAGCAACTTAGTTTACGACCTACCATACGATTTAAGTACTTATCACGCAATAGACCAATCACCACTTCCGGAGCTACTTTAATCTTTTTCGGTTGAGCTTGTTTACGAGATGATCGCTTATCGTAGGCGGACAAAGAATTGCTAGACGTTTCACTATTTGCTGTACTTTTTTTGCTAAAGTCTAAAGGTGCTGCTAAGTACTGCTGCTGACTGGCGGCATCAGCAAGCAAAGGCAACAAGGTAGCCAACTGTGTTTTAGATTTTTTGCAGCATTTATTGTTATGGTTATTATAAGTCGTAACGTTATTGTTATAAGGATGATATATGTGATTGTTGCCGTTGCATTTCTTAGGACTCCTAGAGCTGCATCGTTTATAAGAATCGGAAGCTAAATCTCTTTCTCTCTTTAAAGGGCTAATCGGAGTTTTGTGAGTGGAATTATTATACGGACTGGTGGAGGTTTTGCTCACTCTTGGTGTTATCGTCAGAGTTATATCTTCCTTATTCTTTAGATATTCTATATACTCCTCGGTTTCACTTAACATTCGTTTACGCTTCGGCGACGTTTGTTGTTCCATCGGTAAAGTTCGACTCTGTGATTGCTGGGCGGTGGTTGTAGGTGTTGGCATATTCGGAAACATTAATGGAGTTTCGGCGGCGTAATATTTGCTGATTATGTCTTTAACATAATTTTGAAATTGTGTACCGATCTTGTTAAGATTCTGAAATTCTAATTGCGTTAAAAAGGTAGCATTTTGATTATTTTCTTTATTGTGCAGATCCAGGCGATGCGAAGACATTTGCTGATAATTTATGTAATTTCGCATTGGTTGCTGTTGCTGTTGTAAAGATGACGACATTTTATTTTTATTCTGCTGGTTATTGTAACCGTTAGATTTATTATTATTAAGTTTATACGCGGGAGACGATCTAATAAGCTGCTCTTGATTCTCTTGATCTTCCTGTTGATAGAGTAAATGTTTCTGGTGTTGTTGTTGATCTTGATATTCGGTATAGTCGGGTAAACATTTACGCCTTTGGAGATCGTTGTAATGGTTTGTACTGCTGCTGTTGCTGGTGGTGGGCACCGCTTGATAAGTTATCTCTTGTAGATCAAAATTCTTACCTAAAAATGCCGACATCGCCTTTCTCTGCTCAATGCTACCATTGTTGCTATTATTGGCATTATGAAATGCTTCTTCATAATGCTTTATTTGTTCCAGTTTTAGGGGAGACAAATCATCACCAGAATTTGAAGATGAAGCCGACGAAGGAGTATTTTCATCATCTTCTCCCGTTGAATGTTGTCGTTGACGCATGCCATTCACGTATAACGGTGTGTTTGGATTTGCTACATTCGATGTTATTGCATTATATTTGGAACGCGGTTGTTGCAATTGTTGCTGTTGTTGATAAAGTAAACTTAAATTGTTAGCGTTACTACTGAGACTATGTAGTAAAGCAGCAGCATCTTTAGTCGTCCATTGAGTTATGGGCAGTTTATTATTGAACAAGAATTGTTGCTTGGCTGGTAATTTTAATTCTTGCACGCCTCCCGCCTTATGAAAATCCTGAGCGACTGAAGAGGTATTGCGACTAATGGCGTCCATTTTAATGAGGCTGCGAATAAATAAAGAGACAAAGAATTAGGAATTGAAACTAACATTAAATTATTAGTGCATTATGTAATTAAAATATAAAAGGAAATGTAAGCAAGTTAGTAAATAAAATTGTCTTTTTCAATAAATTTTAAAAAAGTTACATTTTCTAATCTAATATTGAAGAAGTTCTCAAAGAATATTTTCGTAAAAAAATTATAAGACAAACTTATATATAACATAAACTTATAATTATCCGTAGATCGCACTTCGTTAGATATAAAATATTCGGTGTGACGGCTTTAAAAATTGTATTTATGAATTCTATTCAAACATCAGCCAATTAATATACTTTACGTTTACACATTTGCACTCATCAGTCAATCCAAGCAGTCTGTTACGCATAGGATGAGCTATTCTAAGCCCTTTTTTTCCTTTTTTACAAGCTCGAGAGAAAGTCAGCCTACAGATATATACGGGACAATTCGCAAAGTATAAGAGTAGATTAACTTTATCAACACTTTTGCAGGCTTTAAAAATATTAGGCATTCCATAAGACGTTGACAACATTGAAATCGACATGTCTGTCTTTCTGACAATTCTCAAACTCGCAGGAATTTAATTTCTATTTCACAAAAATCGTAGTTTAATGAGAAGCACGCTTTCATAATCTAGGGAACTGAAATAATTGCCGATGGACGGAAAATTAGATATATTTTCCACTCTAGCAGTAAGCAGGAGACAGGTTTAAGAGAACACCTTGTTAGGACAGCACAGAAATACCAGGGGTTTCAACAGAATTATTGCCACAACTATGGTACATTAAAAAAAAAAATCAACAAATGAGACATTCTTGCCCTAGTGACCTTTATTACTATTATTTATTCATTTAGATGTTAGCAGCTACTTAGCCTTAAGACTCACAACAAAATATATATGTTATAAGTATAAGTTGACCTACAGTTTAGAACAATTGATACTAGGCATACAGTAGCAAACGGAAGGTAAAGAGGAATAACACCGTGATAAACACTTAGCCAATGACTTTCGCAATGATATTATCGAATAAGTAATGCAGCTGATACACTGTATTCACTTTTATCCGAAGCGAAGAATAAGTGAAAATTTTCATTTCAGAGAACACGCATGGGAGAATGCAATTCATAGGTAGCCCTAAAACGCGTTAGACGCAAGGGAAAGATGTGATTAAAGACTCTATGCGGGACAGTAAACCTAAGGTTGGTAAGTAAGAATGGAGACTCGATTTCGCCATCCCTCTCTTCCCTACAGATATTAGACTGATTAATAGGAACCTGTTCTCATAAGGGGGAAGTGATCTTTGGCGCTTGCCAGTTAAGCCCAAGAAGGCCAAATAGAACAAAATGTTTCTGAACAGATCCCACCATTCGCACGGCGCAGCTTGGAGCAAGAAGAGAGATCTTAGATATTGCACGATATTTTCTTTCTTGAATATTAAACTTTAGTGATATCGACCTCGAAAAGAAATTTAGCAAAGTGTTCACCGTTGATAACGCCGTCTAGTAAAGTTTGGTCAGAGAATTTTGTATAGATAACTTTGTAAATTTAGTTTGGTATTGAGAACCTAGAAAGGTTGCATAATAAAAATTTTGAAAATAAAAAGGATTTAAAGCAATTTAGCACACATATGTTAAGATTAAAAAATAAAAAAAAAAAATAAAAAAAATAGAATTGAAAACCAAACGTTACGAAAATGTTCAGAAAAATTCGAAAATTTAATGTTCAAATACCGCGAATAGTCTTCGGTATCGCTTCCGTCCGCTTCAAGATATTGAAATAAGCGCTCTGAGCCACGTTTCTGAACAGCAGCGTTCGGCAGGCCGCTTGTTAATAAATCCTGTGGCGGTATTAAAGCACCGGTGGCACTTAAACGCCATCCGCCCATCGATGTAGGATTAACAATTATCTCTTGTAAGGGACCGCCGGTCGCACCATTCTGATTATCATTAGTATTATTTGTCGTATAAATAGTAACCGAATTGTTAGCATTCGTTGAATTGTTTATACTGTTTAATAAAATGAGTTTGTTAGAAAAAAAGTGAAATCCAAACTTCGAAATAAATTATTTTTCAATATATTTATGTTAATTACCTAAAGTTGTCATTTTGAAATTGATTTAAATGATTGTTATTATTATGGTTATTGTTGTTATTGTTATTATTATTACTATTTCCTAAAGTGTTGCTTATCGTTCTTAAAACATTTAAATTTGTTGACAAATTTTGACGCTGGGATGGCACAAAGTGTGGGCTGATATGTGTGTAGTGGAATTAGTTTAGTTAAATATAGAGAAGAGAAAGTTAATAGAGAATTAAATGCAATCGTCACATTAAAGAGTTATGTTAATGTTATGTTACGTTTATTATTGCTATATATTGCTATAAAATGTTTATAAACTTACTGTGCCTCTTTTAAGTGAGCTTGGTATTCTTCTAGAGTATCCCCTAAAAAGTTACATTTACTGCAGGCTCTTTTATTATGCACCTTAAGGATGTGTGTGGACAAGCGTTCCGAACGTGCGGCTTTATAATCGCATAACAAACATACGAAAGGTTTTGTATGAGTATTTAAATGGCGTTTAAGACCCCATTTATCTGCTCCCGACCAGGGACAATACAGGCAGGTAAATCTTTTCTCTCTTTTTGGTTTAACGGTAACAGTACCAACGCCACCGCCAACGCCACCGCCACCGCCACCGACCGCGGTTGTTAGCGTTACATCA